CCCTGCCTGCCTTCCTCCCTTCCTTCCTTCCTCCCTTCCTTCCTTCCTGCCTTCCTGCCTTCCTGCCTTCCTTCCTCCCTTCCTTCCTTCCTGCCTTCCCTCCTTCCCTCTGCACTCCCTTCCTCCTCCTCCTCCTTTCTGACCCTACCATGCTACAAAGAGTCCCAGCAGCAAACTCCTAGGGTATTGGATGGAGCCCCAGTCACCATGCCTTCCCTACCACCATGGATAGTATCACCTTAAACTGTGAGCAAAGACAAATCCTTACCCGCTCAATTGCTCTTTGTCAGGTATGTGGTGGCAGTGACAAGTACCTACTGTAGAATTTATCATAGATTATCAACCAAAAAATAGCAGCTTTCAGCTTAGAACTATCAAAGCCAGGTCTACAGCACCACACTGATGCCGTACCAATGCCATCACTGTTATCATCAGTACCTGCTCTCTCTGTGCCAAGACACTACTTCATGAGATAGACATTTCAGACATTAAAAAAATGGGCTACATTTTCTTAACTTTAGATGAAACACAGACGTATTCCTAGTCATTAAAATTTCTTCCAAAGAGTATAATACACATGAAAATAGAGCAGGGGACTATTTTTGCAGAGGGAGGACATCAGTAAGAGGGGCACAGTGAGGAGCATGAGGAATGGATAGGATAAGTCTACACTATATACATGCATTAACACATCACAGCGAAACCCGCTACTTACAATCAACACACACCGATTCAAAAAGAAAGGGAGGAAAAGGCAGCACCCATGAGCGCACGTGGCCACACACACACACACACACACACACAGATTTCACTCCTCCAGTCTAAATGAGATGCCTCAGTTGAGGAAGGCACCTCACTGTCTTGAGAAGACACCGGCTTGCTGTTACCCCAGCTGCATCTGCTTTCTTACCTGGTCAAAGTTGCACAGAGCGGCATGCAAGCTGGCCAGCATTCCTGTGGGGGGCTCATTAGTGATCTTGATGGAATTTTCCAGGAGGCCTTGAGGGATGATGTGCTCCTGCGGGGAAGGTGCAGCCTCTGCACTCATGAACACCCTGTAATCTCTGTGACTCCCTTGGCTGAATTTTTCAAGGAGTTTCTCCAAGGTTCCCAGCCACTTGGCCACCAGATGGACATTCTGCAAGACAGCAGGGCTCATGATTCCTGTGCCATTTTAGGATAGGATTTGAACGACAGTATTAGAACCTTTTCCTATATATAAGTATCTTGACAGCTCTGAGAGCCATGGCATGTTTCTGGCCTTGAAGAATTCACAAGTATGTGCCATTATGCCCTGCTCCTTGTTTTTATGCAGAAAAAGAAAAGCAAAGGCCCAGATAGAATGGGCCACTGAACCTATTAAATCTGTAAAACCACTGTAGGTTGTCATTGTAAAGCCACACCCACCACTCCATGTGACCTACTTCAAACAGTGACCCACCAATCCCTTGTGAGATGAAGTTGCAACTCTGCTTTGTTATAGCTCAGATCCAATTGCTGAGACATATCTGGGTTAGCTTAATAAAGTATAAGAAAGTGTAAGCTCTATCAGCCATAAATGTACCTGATCCCTTATTTCATTTGGAAACCTCCTCTCTTCAAACTCCTCATTAGCATATAGACTCAAAAGATGTTAGGGAAGGAAGGCTAGCTAAAAGGAGAGCTATCACTCATTTGGTAAGATGCTCTGTGTACTCCTAACATATTTTACTTCTTAAATCCCAGCATAGTCAATACATTGCTTCCTCTTCCTCAAAGACACATCCTCTCTCTCTGTCTTTCCCTCTCTTTCTCTCTCAAGTTTATCTTTTGCTTTCAGTTTCATGAATTGCAATTTTGATCTTCTGATGTTATTTGTTAGAGTGAGTATATGTGTGTATAGTGTGTGTGTGCATGCATGTATGGTGTGTCATTGTGTGTGCATATGTGGTGTGGGTATATGTGTGTGTATGTGTGTGGTGTATGTGAGTGTGTGCATGTGTGTGGTATGTGTGTATAGTGTGTGTGTGGTGTGTGATTGTGTGTGCATGTGTGTTGTGTATTTGAGTGTGTGCGTGCGTGTCTGTGTGTGTGGGATGTGTGTATAGTGTGTGTATGTGTGGTGTGTGATTGTGTGCATGTGTGTGGTGTGCATGTGTGTGGTGTGCATGTGTGTGGTGTGCATGTGTGTGGTGTGTGTATGTGTGTGTGCACATGTGTGCGTGCATGTGTGTGGTGTGAGTGTGTGCATGTGTGTGTGTATGTGGTATGTGTGTAATGTATGACTGTGTGGGAGATGTGTATGTGTGTGAGATGTGTGTGTGTGTGCATGTGTGGGATTGTGACTGTGTATGCATGTGTGGTGTGTGTGATTGTGTGGGCATGTGTGTGTATGTATGTGTGTGTGGGGGGGTCAGAGATGATTGAAAGTCTACTCTCTTTCTTCCAAAGTGGCTTGTAGGTATTGAAATCAGATTGTCACTGAGCCTTCTGACTGGCCCAGAAGAAGTTTTGATATGCCAAGAAGAAATGCAACATTCATCAAACCTCTACACTAGAGACACCAGGGAAAGCCAATGCTGGACTTTGGAAGAGAATGGGTATGTGGTTTATTTAAAAAAGGTTGGCACTAAGCAGTAACTGTGCCAAACCATGTCTGTGGGCAAATCCAAGACTCCCTTTCCTCACCTCTACATGGAAAACACATTGACCTTAGAGCTTTGCCATAGTGACTGGAGATGGGCATTCCATTAGTTGCCTCCTCAAGAACATTTGGGCTGATGGTATCATACACCAAATATCCATTACCAGTCGTGCTGATGGCTAACAGGGCTTGCTGTAGGAACCAGTCCAGCTCCATGGTTCCCCAGAGTTGGCCTGTGTTCCGGGTCTCTGGGGGCTCTTATTAGAATCGTAGGTCAAGAAGATTACCCTGGAGGACACTAGGTCATAGAATCTTAGACCTGTGTGTATCTGCTCTAGAAGGGACTATAGGAATTGTCTACTCTAATTTCTTAATTTACAAACAGACTACATGACTATTTAGGGGCCAAGTAGATTGTAGAAGAATATACATAACTTATACATTATATGTGTGCATTACATGTATGTGAATGTATACAGTGTTCTGTGAACTCTGTAGTGACATGTTGACTTTGAAGGGACACACATCTTTCCATACTATGACATTAGTATAGCTGTCTCTATTAGCTTGTTCATGCCCATCTCTTTCTCACCTGAGGCATTGTGAATGGGGCAGAGTCTGCACATCCCCTTGTGCTAGAATGAAAGCCCTTCTCTGCTGGGTGGGGCATCAGAGCATGGCCTATCCTTTGGGTTCACACCAGGGTTTTCCAGGAAAGCTTCCTACCCACCTGAAGGATGACCCAATGCCCTCCAGTGGCAGCCTTCTCCAGTGCCGTTTCTGCCACCAGCTCCTGACCCTGCCCTAGAGACACATTGTGGAATTTCCCAGAGTCACTTGTAAACCCAAGTCTTTTGCCTGTGGAGAATACAACATGGGGGGGGGGCAGGGTGGGTGGAGGGTGGCAGGAGGGGGGAGAGACAAATGTTAACTTAGGAGGAGAGTCTGGAATTCTTTGGTCTAATCTACATCTGTGGTCACAGCTGCCACCTGATAGGTCAGCTTCCTATGGAATCCTAATGACCTCTCTATTGTTTCCCTTGGCATTATTTTGAGCTCTCTCTCCAGCTGCCTCCCTGCAAGCATTTTGAAAAGCCTGTGGAAGTCGTTGTTTCCTTGGGTTTTATGATAATGAAGCTTTTGACATTTTGATAGATGGCAGCATTGTTAGCGAGCTTTCTAAACTCCCTCAGAAAAAGGAGCAACATGTGGTAGATATGGCATCCGTTTTTTTTTTTTTTTGAAGGGATTGGCTCATTGGGTAAATGTACCGGCTCTCACCTTGTGAGGCTGCATTTAAATGGAGCCCAGGCAGGTCACAGCTACATTAACCTGGTATTCCTGGAGCAGGCTGTGGGGAACAGTAATCTGGAGCACAATGCGACAACGTCTCACACAATCGAATAGAGTTGCCCTAATGACCATTATTTAGTCACAGGGGGTACAAGATTACATGAGCATGGAGAAAATTGCCCTCTGGCCCTCATATCGTCAAAAAGGTGGAAAATGGCACAAAAGAACCTTGCATTATGCCAACCAGATGAATGTTCTGTTGGAGTATTTCTCCAGACTACAGTGTTATTAGTTGTGCATTTTCCACACACCCAATCTCCAACAAATGAAAAAAAAAAAAAAAGATAACTGAAAAGAAAAGGGTGGGCAGGGGGCTGCAGACAAGAGGGAGGGAGAGGAGGGGAGGCTGGTGCCTCCTGGCTACTCACCAAGCACCTCTAGGTCTTTAAGGGCATCAACACCTGGAGACAGGATGAAGAACACTGGGGTGGCGGGATTGCTTTCTTCACATGCTTTAGCCAGATCCAGCCTCGTCCTCTCCACATACTTTGCACCTAGCTTCTCTTCTACAAAATTTCTGTTTTAAGAGAAGAACATGCAAAAGTAGAACAAAACAACAGCAACCACGTCCCCAAGAAAACAAAACAAAACAAAATTTTGGATGACTGATTTTTCAACTTGAAAAGCGTCACTGTTTGGGTAAGCTGGGTACAAGAAAGAAACTATGTTTGCTCTAAGAGGTGTCTTTAGGAGAGCTGCAGGAATCCAAGTAGATTTATTATGCAGGAGGTGTATTGATGAAATTGCTCCCGACTTGAGACACTGAAAATCAGAAGCCTACATGGCATTTTAGGGTCCCCCCCCCGTGTACCATCAGCTGTCCACATATGGCTTTGTAACCCCCAAACCTCCTACCAGACCCCCCATTACTTATTAAGAGTTCATTAGATTTGCCACAGTGCAATTTTCCAGCCTGCTGGGCTTCTCATGAATATACAAATGCTTTTTTTAAGGGTGTTTCTAGCAGGGAAGTGCAATTAAGCAGGGATTATTTTCCAGCAGCATCAGACCTAGCAGAAAGCAAGTACTGCTAAGCAGTTTGAACTTCTAAAAGCACGGTTCCACAGAAGCCTCTGCAAAGGGAAAATTGGCCAAACTAGACAAAGCAAATCGAGGACCTGAGACACATGGATACTGTGGAAGAAAAACCATCACACTCGGTCCTGGGGGTGGGAGGGGGGGATGAAGCTGAGAACACTTTGGCTGGTGGATTCAAATTAAAAGAAGAATTGTGTGAATTAAGCAGGGTATTGCCATTTAGAAGTCAAGAGGGCAGAGAAAAAGCCACTGAAACTGCCCTGTGGATTGCAGTTTCTGCTTTTAAAGTGTTCTGACTGTAAAGTTACAGGGTCAGGGCCACGAGTGGCTCCAAGAAGTGGGTTTGCTGTTTTTGTTTGATGTGCAAAAACCTTTGGAGCCAGCATTCGGCTAATACATAAAAATGATGTAAGTGGACAATGCATGCTTCCAATCTCACCACCCTGCTGATACCCAGACCTTCCATGAACAAACCCACCATTTCTTTACCCCTCAAATTCACTCCGAAATCAAGCTCTTTGGAAGGGTATGCGGAGTCTGTTTACAGACTAGTCACTGTTCAGTGCTGCGCCACAGTTAACAGTAACAGTGATGGCAGAACTGAAATCTTAGCAGAATTCCTCCTCCCTCCTGGTACCAGTTTCTTCTGTGTTGCCTAAAAAGCCATTTATTGCTCACCTCAGGGCATACGTCATCCTGTCGGGTCTCAGGGCTCTCAGAATAATCAGCTTCTGCACTAAACTTTTCTTCTTCCATTCTTGCGGTAACGTCTCTTTTTCCGGACACTCCGACTCTACCCATTTCCTCCACTGCTTGGCAGATCCTTCCACGTCCCTGTCTAGGCCTCGGAATTCTTCCATGAGGGCAACTGCCTGCAAGGCAACATGGGAACACGCATGAATGCCGTGAACACAGTCCATAGCTTGAGACAGACTCACGGGCATCCCTCCTATTATTCTGCATGCCTTCCTGCCCTACTTAGAGCCGAGGCTCAGTGACACCTCCAGGTCTCTGGCCTTTTGAGTCTGGTCAGTGAGAAGTGTTGGCAGGAAATGGGCTGTGTGGCTGTGTCCACGGTGAGGGCAGATGCAGCACAACTTCTTCCCAGCTCTTTCCTAATTCGGCATGTTTTTCTGTTGTAAGGATTCAGGCGTTATGCTGGCTTGCCCCTGTCACCTGGCAGAATGCACTCAGGCAGTACCCTGGCCAGCCCAGGGTTCCATGATTTTGTAGTCTGCTTGCAGGTGCAAAGGACCCACCCACTTAACGCTAGCTCTCTCTGCTCTCCTCTCTTTCTGGCTCTTCTCTCTCTTAACTCTGTTCCCCATGGTTCCCCTGGGGCAGACAAGACTTTTCCTGTCTCCCTCTTCTATTCTGTCCTCTCCGTGTCTCTTTATCTCTGTTCTCTTTCCTTCCCCCTTCCCTCCCCTAATAAAACTCCTCACTGAGCTCTGTCTGCCTGGCATGTTTGTCCCTCCATCTTGGTCACCCTCGCGCCTGCCATGGAATCCGCCAAGGTCCCCCAGGCAAGGTGCCCCTTGTGCTTTACCATAACATCTGTAACCACATTCCTTTGCCAAATGCTCTAGCTGGCTGGCCTCTTCCATTGCCTCCCTTTTCAGCAATTGTAGAAAATGCCTTTTTTTTTTCTTTCCTTATTGTGTTCATAACCCATCCCTTTGTGCTGTCTGTTTTGTATTGAGACCCTGAGGTATGACACATTAGGAATCCATAATTATTCTTCCCAAGATTTATTTTTTATTAAATTTAATTATGTATATGGGGAGTATGTGCACACAAACTAAAGCTCACACAAAGGCTAGAGATGTGAGATTCCCCCTGGAGCCGGGGTTACAGGCAGCTGGAAGCCACCTGATGTGGGTGCTGGGAACCAAACGCAGGTCTTCAGGAAGTGCTTTTGACAGCTGAGCCATCTCTCCAGCCCACCAATCCATAATTCTAAAGTGATAATTAAATTGAAAATACAAATTTCTAAAACTACTGTGTAAGGGCTGGACGGATGTGGTTAAGAGCGTACTGCTCTAGCAGAATACCTGAGTTCAGTTCCCAGTATCCACACTGACCCCTTACAATCACCTGTAAACCAAGGTCCAGGGGATCCAATACCCTTTCTGTACTCACTGGACACCTGAATGGATGCCCATACATAGACACACACATACACAGCATTTACAAAAAGTCCAAGAGGATCTCAATACACTATAAAAATAAAGTACACATTATTTTCAGTATATGGGGACATTTGCTTCTTAGAACAAAACCAGAGCAGACTAGTGTGTGCTTATCCAGGGCCTTGGAGATGAGGAACTATCAGCAATAAGATCTTCTGGCAGAAAAATAGAGTAAGGCCATCATGGCAGCCCACAGCTTTAATCCCAGTACTTGGGCATCAGGGCCAGGCAGATTTCTGTGAGTTCCAGGTCAGCCTGGTCTACAAAGGAAGTGCCAATACATCTAGGACTGTTACATAGGGAAACTCTGACTCAAAAAACAAAACAAAACAAAAAACCAAACAAACCAGCCAACCAAAGAGTAAGGATGACTGGGGTTGAAATACAAGTCATAAATCTGGTTTTGCTTAAACACGGTTATTTGTGTATGTGCAGATACATAGATGTGGTATATGCATATATATGTGTGTGTGCACACATAGGCATGTACACACACACACACGCACACGCACACGCACACGCACACGCACGCGCACACGCACGCGCACGCGCACACGCACGCGCACACGCATGAGGAGAACCAGAGGTGGATGTTAGGGTCTTCCTCAGTTACCCTCTATGTTATTACTATTATTATCATAATTATTTAGGGGGGTTGTGAGACATTGTTTCTCTGTATAGTCCTGGCAGTCGCTCTGTAGACAAGGTTGGTCTTGAACTCAGAGTTCTGCCTGCCTCTGCCTCCTGGGTGCTAGGACTATAAAGGTGTGTGCTACCACTACCCTGCTTATCAGCCTTCTTTTTTAAGAGACAGGGTCTCTCAATGAATCCAGAGCTTCCAATCGTACTATATCTGCTGACCAGCAAGCTCAGGGCTCCTCCTGTCTCTGCCTCCACCACATCTGCATTATGTGAGTGCCGTTCATCAATTGAACCATCTTTCCAGCCCTATCTTAATCACTTTATAGTAAGAATAAAATACTGTATTGCCAATTACAAAAACTATTGAGAAAAGGTAGAAAAAAAAAACGAAGCAGAATGAAGAAACTAGATTTAGCTAAATTAGAGAATGATCTTTTATATCCTTTGATTTTTTATCAAAGGGATAGACTTGCATAATTACTAATAACTTTTCCTCCCATACATAGGCCAAAAGCTCCTTTATCTTTGGATAGGAAAATAAGACATGCATGCAAAGTATATAGTATGTTTCTAAAATGTAAGGGATATCCATATTATCTTTTAAAAATAATTTATTTAATTTTATTTTTTGTACATTGGTGTGAAGGTGTAAGATTCCCTGCAACTGGAGTTACGGACAGTTGTCAGCTGCCACGTGGGGGCTGGGAATTGAACCCAGGCCCTGTGGAAAAGCAGCAGTCCTCTTAACCACTGAGCTATCTCTCCAGCCCCCTCTATAGCATCTTTTTATGAACTGTTTTCTCTATATTAAAAAGTATCATTTGAAAAAAACAAAAAGCTTTAAGAATTGAGAATGCAAATTTCTCGTGTACCTTGAGAGCACTCCATGACTGAGTGGTTAGAAAATCAACAGGACTTGCATAAGTGTGTTCAACTGTGAACCGAAGCAGGAAATCCAACTCCAGGGGGTCGATCTCATTCCTTCTCAACAAAATCTTGAGAGAATACACAAGTGCAAAAGATGAATTGGTTTCCATCAAAAATCACAACACAAGAAGCTGCCACCAGTAAACAAGCATGCCTGGCAAAAATCCCATTCTGAATTTGAAATAGACTCTTAGATTGTGCGTGTGATCTCAAAACCCAAACCAGCAATGAATAGAAAATACTTGTGAGGGTCCAATTCTTCCAGTTCCAACACCTGCAGCAATAAACAGCATGTAGGAGAGGAGCTTTCATAACTACCCCACTGGATTGGCTCCTAATAGCGTGCTTATTTCATCAGAACCCAGAGTCATTTTCCTTACTTATCATCAACCCCTTTATTTAAGCAGAGGCTTCTGTAGCTGTTTCGTGAAAAAGGAACAAACGACAAGCTGGACTCACCAAAAACAGGAGCATGAGGCTTGGATGGAGCTTTTTGTTGTTATTCCTTGAGGTAAAAATATTTTAAATTATATTTTAATTGAATTATATATATATATATATATATATATATATGTAATAAAATGTGATGTTTTGATATGTGGTTACATTGTGGGATGGTTAAATTAAGCTAATTAATTTATACAAATAAATTACAATTATAATGTATAATTATAAACAAAAGACATTATATAATGGGATACTATGCATCTTAGAGCAGAACTTCTGTCGTTATCGACAACATGAATGAGAGCCCATGTGAAGATTTTAAAAGGGCCGTGAGAAACTCAGATCTGGATTCATAACCTTGACCTCAAGGAACATTTTTGGTAGCAGCTTAGAGAGTTCGTGTAAATGAAAAAGAGAAAATGAAAGAACGTCTCATTGGTGTTTCTTAGGGTAATGGTTGACAGTCACCTAAACCAAAGCACTGTAGGCAAAAGCCATTCCATGCTCAAGTTCCTTGTCAACAAGTTTCTGAGAAGGTATTTCTGTTTCCCTTTGGCAGGAGGAAAATACACAACAAACTGAGGTGTTGGCCTAGGGTTCGAGGGAGCTTCAAGTGACTGATGTCCTCACCTGAAAAGCCATCTGGGACAGGAATGTGAGCTTGTCTTTCTCAAACAGCGCTTGGCTGGCGTAGAGGAAGGTGGCATGGGTGATGCTCTCTATTAGGACGCAAATTCGATCCTGAGTATCCTCCACCTTGTCAGCCTGTTCAATGGCTCTGTGGAACAGTGTGTTGAAAGCCTGGAAGGATTAATGTGACTATTAGAGAGAGGGTAAAGTAATGCTTGTGTGTCTAGCTAGTCTCAGACACAGGGAACAGTTTATTCTTTTTTAAGATTATTTATTATGTATACTGTGTTCTGCCTGCTGGCCACAAGAGGGCACCAGATCTCATAATGGATGATTGTGAGCCGCCATGTGGTTGCTGGGAATTAAACTCAGGACCCTTGGAAGAGCAGCCAGTGCTCTTAATCTCTGAGCCATTTCTCCAGGCCCACATTTTATTCTTTATCTATGGGGAGAGAAGACAAGGTGGGACTTCTATGAGGCTTACATGAGCTGCTAAAACAGTCTTGAGTTTGTGCCATAAAGCAAATAGTCATTCAAGGTTTCTGTCATGATGCGTTTGCATGTGTATGTGTGTGTGTTTGTGCATGCATGTGTGTATGTGTGCACATGTGCCCATTTGACAGGGCACGATCTCCTGTTATTTACCCTGGCTGGCCTGGAACTCACTTTGTAAACAAGAGTGGCTTTGGACTTCGGTCAATCCTGTTGCCTTTGCCTCTCAAGTGCTAGAATTATAAGGCGTCTGTCAGTATGCATGGTTCATTGACTGTTATTAAAATGATTCTACAAAACCCATCTCCATATCTGTCTTAGCAACTGAACTGTCCTCTGTCCTTCCATACATAGTCTTCAATTTTATTACTTTCAAATCATGGTTGAAATGCCTATAAAATAATTACGCTGTAATTATTTTAAATGTATAATAGTATTAAGGTACGTCACCAACTTCAAATCATTTTAATCCTGCAAAACTGAGTCTGTCTATTTATCAGCTATATTCATTCATTCTCTGCCCCTACCCCCAGTCCTTGACAACCACATTCTACTTTGCCTTCATCTCTTTGACTATTCCAGGTGTCTCACGTGAGTGGAGTCAGGAAGTGTTCAACTTTGTGACTGGTTTATTTCCCTCCCGATAACGGCTTCCAGGTTTTACTAGGTCGTAGCATGCTTCAGAATTTCCTTCCTTTTAAAGGCTAACTGGTCTTCCACTTGACAGACGTTTGGATGGTCTCTACCTCTGGCCTAACTTGTCACTATTCCTGCTATGAAGATGGGCCTTGCACTTTGTATCTTCAAAGAGGCTCTTTCTGTTATTTTAGATATATAGTTACAAGTGGGGTTGCTGCTGGCTCATACTATTTTTAATTTTTGAGGAAATGCTATCCTCTTTTCCATGGATGCTGGGCTGATCTACATCCCCAGGAAGCAGGGGCTCCACATTTTCACCACCCTTACTTCTATGGTAGCCTTAACCTGTAAGAGGCAATGCCTGTTATAATTCTGACTTGCGTCTTCCTAATCAGTGATGTTAAACATTTAGCCTATGGCTGTTGGTCATTTTCATCTCTCTTTAGTGAAATGTCTATCCAAGTCCTTAGCATATTTTTATCATGTTATCTGTTATGTAATTCCATCCACTGCTTTTGGGATGTCTTATGATTTACTGCTTGTTTTGAAATTACTCTTAGTATTTGCTATTTTATTTCACGTCTGGTCACAATGAGGATGCAAGGGTTTGTATGCATCTGTCTCTCTACATGGGTCTACTTTAATCAGGAGAGCACAGAATGGTTTGGTTTGTAGTATATACAAGAGAAAGTAAAAAGCCAATGATGTCAGACACAGGAAATAAATACTGGCCTAGCATATGCTCCGCAAGTGCTCTATAACGGAGCTATATCCACAGCCTTCTGGTTTTTATTATTGCTAATTTCAGTGTGCACGTGTGTGTCCTCAGCCCTCTGTAACTTATTATTACTAATTCTGGTGTGTACCTGTGTTCATGTGCCTGTGTTTGGAAGCCAGAGGTCAACCTCAGGTATTATTAATTAGGTGTAGTCAACCTTGTTTTGTGAGACAGGGTCCGAACTGGTCTAGAGCTGTCCATTTAGGCTATGTTGACCGGTTAGCGTGCTCAAGGCATGAACCTGTTTCTACCTCCACTTCCTCTTCCTTCCACCATGCCTGATGCCTGACATGGGTGCTGGGGATTTGAACTCAGGTCCTCATGCTTGTGTGGTAAGCATTTTACTGACGGTGCTATTTTCCCAGCCCTAGAACCCTTTTACTTTCATTGCCACAAGAAAAGTTCTTAAGTGCTTCCTTAGATTCCATTCCCACCACAATCTGCTCCGAGTCCCGAGTCCCAGCCTCACAGACCCACCCCGTCACTGCAGATTAATCTTGCCTTTTCTCTAATTCTCTCTCTCTCTCTCTCTCTCTCTCTCTCTCTCTCTCTCTCTCTCTCTCTCTCTCTCCCTCTCTCTCTCTCTTTTTTTTTTTTACATGGTATGCAGTCTTCATGGTTCCACTCTGCTCTCTAACACTACATTTTCATGATAAATGATAAACACATGCACCTGCAGTTCATTTCTTTATATTCTGAGCAGTTTCCTTGGATTGTTTACAAATTTTAACAGAAAATGGTCTATGAACATTGTGATCAACTTTTGTGTGAGTATTTGTATTTATGCTTCTCTTGGGCCCATACCTGGAAAAAAATGTGATGTCATACTGAAACTGTACCTTGTACTTAACAGGGAGTCACAAGACTGTCCTCCTATAGTGAATATGGTAAGACCTCAATCTGCTTTGATTCCTCATTTCTGTGATCACTGTAGGACATTTTTCTCATAAGGCATGTTTATGTCTTCTTACTCTTAGTATGTCTATCCAGCCTGTCTATGTTCTTCATACGCAGCAGCAAATTCTTTGTTATTATGAGTTTTGTTTTTCCAGTCCATAGTTTATCTCTTCATTTTTCCTAACAGTCTCTCTTGAAGATCATAAACCTTAAATATTGTGAGAAGACTGGATTTTACTCTTGTGGCTGTATCTAATCTGTCAATTCTCGATAGGAGTTTTGCTGTTAGACTCACAAGGACCACTCTGTAGTTTCCTTGGAATACCTTTGTCTAGCTGGACATGTGTTAATCTAGGCTTACTGGGTTAGTTTTCTACAAATCAGAATTTTTTTTTTTTACATAAAATCCACTCAAGTAAAGCTAACTGACGATTGCACAAGGTTGTATGGTGGCTTTTGATGTGGTATTACCTTGCAGTGTTTTGAACAAAGTATATTTTAGTAGATTCTCTTTCTCCTCTTCTTCCTCACACCCAGCTCCCATGGTTACCACCCCCCACCAGGTTCTTTGTCTTTTCGATGTCCCATATGTGCCCTTTGCCTAGCTCTAATTTTTTTATTAAAAACAAAACAAAAACAACCTGTGTACTCATTGACAACCCTCTTGCAAGATAATTGCTCTCAATAGGCATTTGTTTCAAAACTGACAGCAAGAATTAAAGGACCTTTCCCAAGGGCGGAATGACATGGCAGACAGAACCTGGCCTTTGGGGTCAAAGAGGCAGGAGCTGAAATTCTGGCTCTTATGATCACAAAATGTGAATTTTGGGGCAATCTGAAAATGTTACCTTTTTTGGTGAGGAGAAAACTTACATGTTTTCTTGTAATGTTTTAGGATACCTAATATGTGTAATGGTGGCTTAAAACGGCCTGCCTCATTCTTTTTCCCGATCTACCAAGATTGCTAATTTCCCTTCACCTCTTCAGCCATTACCTTCAAAGAGAACTGGTAGATTGGGTTGATCTTCCTGAGGTCGTTAATAACAAAGTATAGAAGAGAGGCTCTGGCTGCCACTGGCCTGTAGCATTCTCTGGTCTCGTTGATTTTTCCTTCATTTTCCCTGGCTTGTAACACCTGTGGTGGGATCAAACAACAGTCACCTATCTTCATGTTTTCTAAACAAATTCCAGCAAAGGAAGGATTCTTAGGAATATATGAAACGAGCAGCTACCACTAGTTGACCCTGATGTTGTGATCATGTTTGTAATCCCAGTACTTGGGGAGCTGAGCCAGGAGCATGGCTTTAAGTTTGAGTCTCGTCTGCAATACCACAGAGTGTTCAAGAACAGCCGGCAGTAGAGAGTGAGAACTGTTGTATGTTTCTAATACTCAAGGTATTGTATCTGTTCAGCTCATTTAATGAAGTAATACAAATTTCTAGTCTTTGAAAGTTATTATTATCAACAATATAGGATAATAAGGAAATAGAGTTTAGTAATTAGTCATCTATAACACACACACACACTGATATATATATATATATGTATATATATATATATATCAACTAACATATTCATTTTTATTGAAGGGTCAAAAAATGTCCATTTCTAAAAAACAAGAACCTATTTCTTTTTTTTTTTTCTCTAAGAACACATGCTGGCCCTGTAGCATTAAGTGATGGAGTATTTCCCCCTAAACACTTCTACCGTCTTGACTCACAAAGTCTTCAAATGAAAGGACATGACATGCAGAGAGCCAAGAGGGGAGTGGCTTCTCTGGGAAAATGTTTTAAGATACAATTAGAAGTGAACCTCGAAGCTAAGACTTAATTTACTTAATTGCCCTAATCTTTACTATCTTAGGAGCCACCTAGAAACCACTTACTTTAAAGGATGGAGTAATTTAGGATTCTATTTCTTTTTCTTAATTTAAGGCACATTCCTTGGATGTATGGCAACACAGCTCTGGCTGGGTAATTAGTGGATTACTTAGGAGTGAGGCTATTCTACAAAGCAAACAACAGTCTACATCTTCCCAAACTACACAGTGTTAACAGTCAGTGGCTATTTGTGAAGTCCAAAGCGCATACAACACACACGAGGCCCATTGTGATCCAAGCTGCTTGGTTATCAGGAAGCTGTTCAAGAGAAATGGTTTATCATCTTTTGAAAAATGTCATTTTCCCAGGGTAAATGATGCATTGAGACCCACAGGGGACCATTCCCTGCTCAGTTTCCTGCCACCACACACCTGTAAACACAACTTTAGCTCCAAAGATTTCTCTGGAAAACACAACACCCCATGATTATTATTTGATGAACTGAGCTTTGCAGTTCCTCTAGTTTCTATCATATAATACAGTAGGCTCCAACACTGGTCACACAGGAAAAACAGTTTGAATGATTAGATCTGTGTAAAGTACAAACTGAAACATTTCTATTCTTAATCCTATACTGGTGGACTAAGTGTTGAGGGTTGTTGTTAAATGGCCTGGGTCACACAATGTCTTAGGGTTTCTGTTGCTTTGACAAAACACCTTGACCAAAAAGCAAGTTGGGGAGGAAAGGGGTGTTAGGCTTACACTTCAGCATTGCTGTTCATCACTGAAGGAAGTCAGGACAGGAACTCAAACAGGACAGGATCCTGGAGGCAGAAACTGTTTCAGAGGCCATGCAGGGGAGCTGCTTACTGGCTTGCTTCCCATGGCTTGCTCAACCCACCTTCTTATAGATCCCAGGGCCAGCAGCCCAGGATGGCACCACCCACCATGGGCTGGGCCCTCCCCTATTGATCACTAATTGAGAAAATACCTTAGAGCTGGATCTCAAGGAGGCATTTCCTCAGCTGAGGCTCCTTCCTCTCTGATGACTCTAGCTTGTGTCAAGTTGACATGCAAAACCACCCAACAACAACACAAGCAAATCTGTCTTTTCAGAGGAATTACCAAACCTGATTAAATTGTATTAATTGAAATTCCCGGAGGGGGGTAGTGGCAGATGAACACCAGATAGAACTTCCTGGCTAGGAAGAGTTAAAATGTTGCAGACCAGAGCCAAATTATCTTTTGTTATTTTTCGTCCCTTGAAAGCCATTCATGACCCACATACCCTTACCTGACTTAATATCCTTGTGGCTATCAAAAGCCTTTAAAATGATTCTTATCAAGCCACTAGCTTCTACCAACTCCAAAACTAAGAATGTCACTAGATAGCATCAGAAGCCTACAGTAGAGTTATCCCTGTTTTGTTTTAACCCATCTATCTAATGCTTCTACCAGTATATTGAAAGTGTCTTGATTTATAATTTTCTTTTTCTCTGTCACTATAAAAACATCATGAATCTGTTATCACACTAGGTTATAGGATTTGGCATAACCTGAATCTGCATTCCCAGGCCATGGTCACTCATATTTGGCTCCAGAATAAACTATCTCTTATTACCTTCGAGAGCTGTGTTTTCAGCTGTGATCCATTTCATCAAAGCAGAGCACTGAACCTGTCAGGTGTTCTCGGCTGCCCTTACCTTGTGTTCTATCTCTGCAGCAGTGGCCTTGGTGGTCTCCAGGCGCTCAACCAGCTCAGTGTCATCCAGGAAGCTCCCCTCTGCGGCAGAGAGGCGCAGGAGCAGGTCGTTCTCAAGCTGTGTCAGCTCTATCTTAAAGTCATTTTGGTGCTTGGTCAGTGCCAGCTAATAGGAAACGTTAGGGACGGTGGTTAGTATCTGCTTTGTTCAGGACAGTTCCCATGATCACAGGAGTCATGGGGGTCAGTACCAGCATGGTAGGAAATGCAATGATAAAACCATACTGATGACAGCTGTGAAAAATTATTTTAAGACATTCAGATGGTATGGTAACATTTGGTTAGAATCCGAGGTTTAAAGGGTGGATGCTTATTTAGCATCAAGAACCTCTAGGAAGAGCCTGTTTAGGAAAATACTATCTGGCTTATCCTCTGATGTTTAAATAGGTTGGAGACCTATTGTGAGGAAGAGCTTACAGTTAGGAAAATGCTATACAACCATCTTTCACTGAGAACAGAGGTCCTGGACCAACTGTCACCAGAAAATACAGTGAATCACTGTCAGAACACTTAAACCACAAGTGGCCATTGCAGGAGAGTCAAAACCTACATGGGCACCCAGGCACAGGGCGCCTTCCGCATTGATGTTTTCCCTCCTCTGGAATCAGGCCCCATTCTCACAGAAAAGACTAAAGAATAAGCCACGGTTGCCTTGGGCAGCAGCAACCTCACGGGAACTGTAAGTAATCATTTTAGAGGTCCTATGGCCCAGAGCCTTCTCCTTGTCAAAATCCCACCACGGGGGACTTTACCAGAGCTAAGTTAATGTATAAGAAAGGCAATGAGAAAACCTGACCACTTTAAGACTTCCAGTCTCACAAAGAAATGGTTTGAAAAGGCTAAGGAAGTCCTTCGATGGTAAAAGACCAGTGGCTTAGGCATTTTAGTGCCACCCTGAGATTTAATCACCACATTATAGAATGGGCATCCTTCAGAATTGTATCAACAAGATTGAACAAATGAGAGTGGGTCAAAGGTGAGAGAGCTGCAAGATGCAGGTTTTATTCACGAAAGGGGTGGTTTTTTTTGTTTGTTTCTTTGGAGGGAAAAACCTGAAATAACAGAAGGGGAAAAAGGAATACTGAAGGAAAACTAAAGTCTATGGCTCTGATACAAACACGGCAAAGTCACTCTACAGACAAGATTGTCTACCCAGAAAAACGGAGGCACACTAACAGGCAAAAGCCTTGATCTGAAAAGACAATTCCAGTCTCAGAATAAGACTCAGTTATGCTTAACTTAGTGTCTGCTGCCAGTATACCCAAATACTTTCTGTAAGGGACACCAATGGCCATCCTAGGCTGCAACTGAGAAACAAGCTCCACCAGGGGATCCCCCCCCCCAACAGCTGCAGCACTCACATTGGATCCAGAGACGGCAACATCAAAGAAGTGAACACACAGCCAACAAAACCAAGACCGGACATCAATGTCAAGAAACACCTCAAACATCATTACTTCAGTTGCCTGGATCCCAGCATAAAACCACAAACATGAATATAACCAAGACAAATACGCTTCCACCAGAACCTAGCAACTTTATTATAGTTAGGCCCTGAGAAATTCAATGCAGCTCAAGTACAAGACAAGGACTTCAAAACAGGAATTATGAATACAGTCAGGGGACGTTAAATGGGGATTTGGATCGATTGCCTTAATGAAGGCTGTGAAAATACAAATGGTTGGATGAAATAATGAAAACAATACAAGGCATCAAGGTAGAATTTAACAGAGAAACAGAATCAATAAACAAAATCTGAACTGAAATAAAAATGGGAATGAAAAATGTTTAGGGTGACAAACAAGAACCTCAGGGATAGGTGCCTAGGTCAGCCATCACCAGAGAGGCTGCAGTTGACAGAAACTAACACAGACGCCCCTCCCCACACACACAAATAGACAATGTGCAGAGAGTGAGAGCCTTGGAAGCACTCTGTCTCAAATGGAATGTCTTCCTTCATCAAAGCACTCAAGGAACTATGTGGAAGAGGAAACAGCAAGATCGTAAGAGCTGGAGATGATGGAGCACTGCAGGGAAACAGTCTCCTCCAGACACAACAGAACTGACACACACATGAACTCACTTACAGAGAGTAGGCAGCATGCACAAGGCCTGAACAGGTTCAGCCACCCAGGATCCCAGGACTGAGAGAGGAAAGTGGGTATGGGGGGTCCCACCCCTAACCAAGGTGCTGTCTTTAATGGATACCAGCTGGCAGAGGAAAAACACCAGTTTTTTGTTTTGTTTGTTTGTTTTTCCAATAGAGATTTTCTGGGTTGAATCCTCTTACACCAGAGAGCAATCAAGAAAATGCCACAAGGGCTGTGTAAAGAAGACAGCCGAAGATAACTCTGACAGGCTCCAAGCCACATGTGGCCCAGCTCTAATTACTTGGCATTAGAATTTCACATTAACTTTTCACATGTGTCTGTACTTAGCTACAGAATCCCACTTCACCACGTGACAGCACCTGACATTGTCACCTGTGCAGAGGGAGTGATGCAGCACTATTTACCTTTAGCCTCTCCAAATCTGGCCTTTCGACACTGACCACCTCTGCCAGCAGCTGGGCTTCGAGACCATCTTCGGTGACTGTGAAATTGAGGAGGGTCGTCTGGGCTTGCAGCTCTGGCTTGTAGTGGGGATTTGCCAGTTTGGTGTGTAGGATGAGACGGAAGTTCTTGTTAAATTCGCATTCTTTGTCACCAATCCTGATGAACCTACAGGAGCCACAACACAGACACTCAAGAGAACCCTGGAGACCATCCCATTGCTTGATTCTGGTAACACTCCTGAACCAGTAGGCCGGGTGTAGGGACTCCCAGTTATTCCCAGTTTTCCTAAGACCCAGGATGACCAGAGAGTAATACTAGGCCTTGTAGCACAAAAAAATAAAAGACCCAGAGATAGATATTGGGGTTCAAGCTTCATACTGAAGATCAGAGAAGCAAAGCAGCCAAGCCAGTATATCTTACCTCTACCCAGCTGAAATGGCAATCCTGTCTCTACGAATCCTCAGAGGCAAAAGGCTCTTAAGCCCTGTCTCCTCCTCCTCTTATTCTTTTCTCTGCCCAGCCATATCACTCCCCCTCCCTAATGCTGTGATTCCAGGTGCTGAGATCACCTTTGTATGAGCTGTTTCTTTTAGGACTTTATCAATTTCATGTAGTCAGTGTGGCCTTGAACTAACAGAGATCCGTCTACCTCTTAATCCTAAATCCTGGGATTAAAGGTATGTACCACCACTGCCTAGCTTCTGTAGCTAACTAGTGTGGCTACTTTAATTCCTGATTGTCTGTCTGACTGTCTGACTGTGTGTCACGTGAACGCTTCTCAGCGTTCTTCTTAGGTGGCCTGAGCCATGTGGAGTGGAAATTCACATAAGAAGTCTGGAGTGCAGCTAAAGCAAGGAACATCGTGTCACTTTCATTTACTCGTGAATAGTAATGAAAATTCTGGATTCTTCACTATTAAGTATGTAAAACTTTTATTTTTTGAGATACTAGTGTTTGGACCCATGGCTCCATGCACAGTGGACAGGCACTCTACCACTGAATGGTGTCTACAACCTTCTTTTTAGTTTGCCCTTTGTAACAAGTCCCACTAAGTTGCCCAGGTTGGCCTTTAACTCATGAATTTCCTGACTCAGCCTCCCAAGTAGCTGGGGCTATAGGCCTACACAGTCAACACTGACTGATAAACATTTTATCACTAAACTGTTATGATGATCAATGTCATGCAGAGCCTGTGTTGCTATTAATCTAAAGACAGAATGCTATATAACCTGAGAGAAAGCAATTTACTGCCCGTCTCACTAACGTGAAGGTGAAAGGGTATTTTACTCAGTTTATTAACTTTGGAAATTGAGCACATTCAAAGAAATAACAGTGTGCAACATCCAGCACCTATTCTCAACAATTAAAAAAAAATGAGCAGAGCTACTCAAAATGCTATAATATGGTAATATTTGGGCAATTGGCCCTGACCCTTTTATAACTGTGTCTTACAGAGTGGCTATCGTGTGCAGATGGCAGTGAGAGTGTCTCTCATCCATTTACCAATATTTGGAGGAAGTTTAGAGACAAATTGTTTTAATGTATAAAGATGATTAAAAATGATAATTTTCTTATATCATTCGAGCTTTCAGTATCTGGGTATGAATTAAGAATCCAAGAGCACTGAAAAGTGATCTCCCATTTACAGTAGAAGACATGGCAAGTGTCAAGCCTCTAAGCGGGAGGCAGGGTTGGCAGCAGCCCACTTTAGAGACAGCGTTTGGGGAGCTGGAAGGTAATCATCATTCAGCGTTAGTTTTGGTTTGTTTTTGCTTTATCATTTTTTTTTCCAGGAGGAAAAAGAGCCATTCTTCCAGCCTGCCATTCCTTACTGAGCCAGTGTATACCTGTGTAGTGTGCCCTTCCCCCTTTAAAACAAAGACAGAGACTGATTTTGAATGGCAATATTGGTATTTCTGTTAGAATACTGAGAACCTTTACAAGTGAATGGACCAAATGCTGCAAGTGAACAGGGCAAGGACACTGGGCTAGCTAAGGATCATAGTGGCCTGAGCTCTTCTTTTATAGGCCAAGGGTTGGACACCATGTGTTCATACAGTTTCCAGGTGATACCATGCTCATGAAATTTTTGGTCATTCCTTTGAATTTTTATTTTTTTGTGCTATTCTCTTTTAAATAGCAACTGAATATCTCTAATATGCCGGGTTGTCAGAGAGCCTTCCAAGCACAGGGCACCTAGTTATTTCGAAGACAAATTAGATCTCTTTTCTCACAAATACTACTTCCCAATAATAGGTTTTGTGAATACAGTATTTTAAGTATACATTATTGTATGCATCAAATACCCACAATGTAATGGGCATATGTAAAGGACAAACATCTGCTCAATCAGAAGACAGGCAAAATACAGGAAGAGATTGTTCTTCAAAGACGAGGTGCAAATGTCACCACGAAGACAAATGAGGGGAAGTCACAAAGGACCTTGCAGCACAGGATTCTTTTTATAGGCAGGTTATCAGTCCCCCACCAAATCCTGGCCACAAGATCGGCACAAAGATCCACCCTGCTAAAAGATGAGCAAAGAATCTGATAGCCTTTTCTCCAAGGAAATATACAAATAAATAGCCAATAAGCTCACAGATGACGCTGTCTAACTTCGATATGTGTGTTGTAGGCATTTTTGTGTGTGTTCTCACAGGTTCACAAAACTCCAAACAAACCACCACCATCATAGCTTATTTAGTTTTGGAAGCAAGCTACAAACCTCAAATCCACATCTTTTTGAGGACCAACAGGATCTCACAAGGCAAATCCCACTCCCGACACCTGTGATGGATATGGTCCTAAGTATAGGTACAATAAAACACGTGCAAGATCACCATCAGTCTAGGTGTGTCAGGTGTGTGTGCCACATTTGTAGATCTCATGATTAGGTACCGTGGTCACATTCCCAATATAGCTCATTATGTCCATGCAATAACCCCAATTGTTTATTTATTTGTTGTTTGTTTTGTTTTTGAGACAGGGTTTCTCTGCGTAACAGCCCTGGCCGTCCTGAAACTTGCTTTTCAGACCAAACTCACTGAGATCCACCTGTCTCTACCTCCCAAATGCTGGCATTAAAGGAGAGTACCACCACCGCCGCCAGCCAGCAATAACCCCAATTTAAAAAAAACCCCAAACTGAAATACTTCTGGTTTCAGTATTGCAAATGAAGACACTGTGCCTGCAGATAGAGTTTTGGCCTCAGCAAGAAATCACTCTAGAGCAGAAAGTAGTCAGTGATTGCTGTCAAATGATCTGAGAGTATTGGCTCTGGATTTCTCCATCTATCATATGTTCTCGTTGTTAGAACCCTTTAAAGTCATTCTTTGCTCATGGGTTACACCTTGGCAGGCTACTGGCCTATTTACTTTCTAGAGGATCCAATCAGTTAGTGTGGTAGTATGACTTCTGCTAAAAGCCCAACACTCACCAATGGTTTTGATCACTACAGGGTATCACCAATAACCCCTCTCTAGCCTTTTGGGGACAATTCAGGAGAAAGGTCAACATTAAACATGGGTACAATGAAGTTTTCAGCTGGTCAAACACTTAGTCAAATATCTGCTTTACTGAAAGTGTTCTGCAATGCACTCATGGTTGGCTCTGTATATCATGTGTGTACATATGTGTACTGTGAGACATTTGCAAACGCCAGTCTAAGAGCCAGGGTATATTTCTGCTCTGCTGGGTAAGAACAGTGACAGGGTTGGAGATGGTCCAGGTAGCTAGATGCTTGCTCACCTTGCAAAACAGAAGGACAAAGTTTCATCCTCAGCAGCCACATAAAGATAGCTGTGGTGGTACATGCTTGTACTGCTAACACTGGGGAGACCAAAACTGAAGGAACTCTGGGGTTTGTTGGCAAGTCAGCTAGCTGAATTGGTAAGCCCCTTGTGCAATCTCAAAAAATTAAGGTGACAGCCAATTGTAGACAACACTTAGTATCAAATTCTGGCTTCCACATTAAGACACATACACTAAATAATAATAAATTAAATATTAAATAAATAATAAACACACACACACTAAATAAGTAATGAGATGGGGGCTCTTCTGTGGAAGAGAACTGCCTATAAACTGGGTTTTTTTACACCTTGCTCAAAAGCATCATTTGATAGCTTTAGGTTTCCCAGGGACAGTAAATTATCCTCAATTGGGGTGTTTATGATCTATGAAAGGCAAAAATTGCATAATGACACAGTGGGTTTTATCATTGCTGCTAGGTTAATTTTTGGCTAATCTCCTGTCTGGGAAAATTAAACAGACTGTTAACATTCTCTTCTGATTTGAAGACTCTTAAAAAAAAAAAGGACAGCATTAACCAGAGGGGTGGGAAAACAAAACAGATGCATGCTATGGCTTCCCAAGGTTGACTTCCCTGTACCCAAGGCCACCATGGCTCCTTGGAGCTGAGGAACATGACACAGAAGTAGGAAGTGCAGGTTTTTGTTTAAAGTGAAGCCCTGCCCTGCTGCCCTCAAGAACATACTCTGTTGTGCCCTCCCCTCCCCCACAAACACAGTGTTACAATGAAACTCATATGCCCGGGGACTTCTAAATCTGTACTACAGTTGCTCATTGAGGGCATTTTTTACTCCCTCCCAAGGAGTTAGCTACCCCTCCTCTTCTCGCTGGGTGAGACTGGATGGTTTGGAGCTGAGAGACTTATTAGTACAGCTCATAACGGAAATGAAATAATTTTTCCCAGGGTAAACACTATGGTCTAATGGGCTAGGACATGTGAGTCAAGGGCATTCTGGCTCACCTAGTGGAGTGGTAATTTTAGAGCAAGCTTAGCCCCTCTAGATTCTTTTTATGGACCCAAAGAGTCCATGACTTGCCCAAGGTCACTCTGGCCTGGCAAAGTTGAGTCTACTAGGACCCTGGTCTCTAGACACACAGTGTAAAATCTATTTTACTATATTCCATTTCAGGCTAATTTGTGTTCACAGAGGTTGCCTGCAGTGTCTCTGTCAACATGTGTAGCCATTGATCATAAGAGGACATGGAGGGTACAGCTGACCTGGGACCAACCTGAGGCAGCTGTGGGAAAAACAGACACGGCTCAGAGCACATGGCCTGCTGATCTGCAGTTAGAAATTCTGTTGTTTATGAAAGAAAATGGCTGAATTATTCAGGTGCCCACACCTAGCTTGGGA